ACGAAACAGTTTGTCACAGCCCCTCGTTTGTTGTCCTCTTCTCTCTCTCTGCCTACGGTTTACCGGGCAGTTCTATTTGTGACGATATATATTTATATATTTTTTTTCTTTTTGACCCGGCCGGGCAAGTGGACCCGGGCCGCTCTGGTAGCCTAGGGAATGACTCAAAAATAATTTTCTCTCTCTCTCTTTCTCTCTTTCTCTCCCTCTTTCTCTCTCTTTTTCTTTCTCTCTCTCTCTCTCTCTCTCTCTCTCTCTTTCTCTCTCTCATTCTCTCTTTCACTCTTCCTCTTTCTCTCGTTCTCTCTCTTTTGCATTTGATTTTTCTCTCTTTCGATGCTTATCCTCTTTGTATCCGTCTTGGTAAACTCGTGAGTAGTGTGTTTGAATATGAGATGCCTGTCTCACCTTTCTGCCTATCCTGTTCTTTCTGCTCTCTCTCTCTCTCTCTCCCTCCCTCTCACTCTCTCTCTTATGTCCTTTTTCTGTGGTTGAATCTTCCCCCCCTCTCTTTTGCTTGCCCATGTATTTTGCTTTGTGGCAATTTTTAGTGGCGTGCTGGAATTTCTCGTTAAGGATGTCGAAGGGGCCACATCCGAGCTGCTGTGCGACCTGTCTAAAGGTGTGTTTGCAGGGAAGAGATCGAAAGCTGTGCAAAGCTGCGAGGCAACCGCTCGCTGTCTCCCATCCCCCATTCTCTCCCATCCATCCTTGCATCCGCACGCATGCTGCACCGTGCATACGATTTTCGATGTATACGGTTTCCGCACGTATGCTGCACCGTGCATACAATTTTCAATGCATACAATTCCAAGCTCTGTGATCTGCGCTACGGTCAGAAAGAAACTGTGTGGCGTACCAGAGGGAAAAAAAAAAGTTCTTGAAATTAATAAATGAGAAATTGTTTTCAATATGTATACAATTTCGGTAATGACGACAGGAGAGTAGATGATGACGGGAGAACGGAGATAGCAATGTTGAGTGTGAAAGCAATGGGCATAGTAATCTCAGTGGCAGGAGGGATGGTTATGACAGCCATTCCTATGAGCAAAGGCATCAAGAGAATCTGACATAGAGAATACCGGGCGTCAACAAAGAAAAGGGAAGGCAGAGCAATTACTAATTAGCTCAGCTGATGTGAATGTGATCTGGCATTAGCAAAGACATGCAATGACAGAATGGCTATGTCTATAGCCCCTGTATGGTCAAGGACCAGAAGGAGGTGTTTCTCTGTCGTGTTGCATACAAAATCTGTGTGTGTGTGTGTGTGTGTGTTAACCATTTATATGCAGATAGTTTGTTTTCCCCCCGCCCCTCTTTTCTGCACGTGACAAGGATATCGTGGAATCTCACGAAGAATAGGTGGGAGAGGAGAGTGAGAGTAATGATAGAAGGGTGAGGGGGATAAAGAACAGCTATCAATAAAACCCCTCTGTTGATGCTGCGTATTTTGTTTCGGGTGTTAGTCGGAATATAAGGGGTTGTGGATCAAGAAAAGGAGGGTGGAAGGACGCAGTTGTAGAAGACGATGAGGATAAGCAGCTAGTGAGCGATTACGAGTAGGTGGAAGAAGTAACTAGTCCCACTTGAATCGTTCAGATTTTTACCACCGTAAGTAAGTCCCTTGAAGATCACAGTGGGAGATGGGCAGCAAGGTAGCAAGGTCGAAAACAGCTGCAAGGTGAGAACCCCATGGAGAGCATGGCGGGAGAGGGAGAGGGAAAAAAAACGCAGGTTCGGAATATATCAGGTTAGTGAAACCAACTTCCGCAAGAAGAGGAAACAAAAGAAAAGTTAGAAAACTTATTTGGCTTTCCGTCCTCTTTTTTTGTGAGCGAAGCCGCAACGGATTACGTCTAGTTTCTCCAAGTATAGCACTGTGTGTGGAAGTGGAGCGGGAGTGCTGTCGTTGGCGGGAATTCCGCGTGACAAAATTTAAAAGCTTGGTGCTTTCCTTTGGAAGCTTGAAGATGAAAAAAAGGAATGTGAAAATTTTGCAATTGCCGTCCACCGTTTTCATATTGTTCCTCTTCGTTTGGTGCACGCGAGACTGTCGTTGTTGGTATTGTGATGATTGAATCATTTATTATTATTAATTTATCACTCATCGGCGATCTCTTTAGCATAGCGACTGTCGGCGACACGGTAGTATGCTAGATAAATGTGGAGATGAAATACTCGCAGCTTTTTCCCTTCTGTCCGCTTGAGAGAAGCGGTTAATAATGGAAGGCCCAAAATTCGGCGAATTTTGGCGAATTTTGCATCGAAACTGCCATGTTTCCCTGAATTCTTACTTTTCTCTTGTTTTTTTTTGTCTGATATGGATGTGCTTTAGGGTATATCAGATATCTGTATTCAGCTTCGCCGTATTTGGACAACCAGTAACGAAAAAGTTGGCAGAAACACCGGACTCGAGGAAAATTCGATTTGAACTTTGAAGCATAGGAGTAGAAATGTCATCGCGTCAATCACATTCTGAGCAGAGCAACAATTTTCGTAATCCCTAAACGATCATTCTGGTGATGGAATTAATTCGGTGTTACGCCGGTGTTCTACTTCCAAGTTCCAACTCTTTCGATTGTATATGATATAATCATATAAATTGATATAATTCAAAATCATAATTGTATTGTGTGTCCCTTTCCTCGCTCTGATTCCACCAAGTTGCAAGGTCTCTCTTTTCTTTTGCTGATGTGAAAAAAATCTCTCTCTCTCTCTCTCTCTCTCTCTCTCTCTCTCTCTCTCTCTCTCTCTCTCTCTCTCTCACACACACACACACACATCTTTTGATGCCCAGAGACATATACAAACCCTATCATATGTGTCGTGGTCTTTATTATGGGAGTTATGCCAGTCCATGAGAATTAGTGTGGTGTTCTGCAGTGGTCATTTTTAAATGATTTTTTTCAATTATTATTAATAATGATTGTAGCATGTGATGACA